TTGCAGACTGTCTCCAGACTGCAGGGAGGTTGGGAAATCACACCCTTTCCCTCTTCCACTAATCCTTTTCCTCCTTCTTTCCCCCTGCTTTGGACCCACATTCAAAGAGTGACTTAAATACTGTAAAATTGTTCTGTGCCCCTACTACAAAGGGTAGACCAAATTTTCTTCAAGAATTCGTGAAACATATAGGAATTCAAAAGGAAGTCTGGGCAAAATCTCCTGGGGTTTCTTTTCACATGGACACACTAAAAGTTCTCAAGAGGTGATCTTGGAAATGGAAATTTCCCAATGGATTCTTGCCACTTCAAAGGCAGTGAAAAGAAATCCAAACACTCCAAAATAGGACTCGTAACTTTAGTTTGAGAATGAAGAATGGGATCAGTGAAACTCTGATCTAGTGAGAGGCTCCCAACAAAAGAATTTAGGGTTGATTACTCTGGGTTTCTAGGCCAACAGGTGAATTTGACCCTGTGGATCTGCAGTAGTTAAGGATCTCACAATAAGGCAAACAGTCTAGGATTGTTCAAAAACAAAGAAAGATGACCATTTATCAGCTAGACACTGCATGTTAGGGATGCAAAATACATACTTCTCATATTAGCTGCAACACTCAAATAGGGTGTGGTAATACAATTGCTATATGTGCACAGACATTCAAATAAACAAGGGATGTCTCAAAAGAATTGGTCTATTTTCCAAACAGAAAAATAGATTAGTCAATTACAGTCTAAAAAAATTGCTATTTTTTTTCTCTGGTAGATGCTGAAACTAGGGAACCCAATAATTAAATTTCTAGTTGGAGAATTATTCCAGGAATTCCTACAAATATGAAGAGACGAGTATTTATCCTGGAAATGCTTCATATGTAGCATATGCAGGCTCTGGGGGTGGTCTCAATTTCCATTTTAACTGATGAGTCAAATCCCCAGAATTGACTACTATATCTCCCCTCAGAGTGTTAGGGTATGTATTCCTGAGGAGTTGGAGATATCTTTCTAATTCTGTCAACTGAGCCCCCATTCTGGTGTTTTCTCCCCAATAATAGTAGTTGATATAAATTACTCAGACAGGCTCAATTAACATTTAGAAAGAGGTAATTTTGTATAGTGGCATAGTTGCCATTAATATGATATATTTCTCCAAAAACTCTGTGACATACTCTTGAAGAAAGACAAGATGACAAGGCGAGGGGACAGAAAGCCATGACAAAAGAGGAGCAGTTGAAACAACTAGGAGGATTTAACTTGGAAACTTATATTGGAATGTGTGTATTCACATATGGCATGGCTTGCAAGCTCAGTATCAATCAACATTATGATATGGTATATTAAGATGGGTATAGCTTCCAGGAATGAGGAGATGATAGTCCCACTGTACTCTGCCCTGGTTAGACCATATCTGGAATTCTAGGCAATATAGTTTGAAAAGGATGTTGATAAACCATAGAGTGCCTGGAGGAGGGAAATCAATATGGCTAAGGGCCTTGAGTTTGTGCCATATCAGTGATGCTAAAATGTGGGAGAGCAAGCTTGGTGTGAAAGAAGTCACTTAGATGTTCTCTTTGCCAGCGAGAGCTTTACTGACACAAAAGCACACAGGCCTATAAAGCAATGGGGTTAAGTAGGGTCACTGGTGTTTGGGGAGCTAGGCATATATAGCAAAATGCTGGTAGAAAGCCATACAGCCAATAGATGTTCTGGATGAGGATGCAGTTTTATGGCCTTCTAGGTCCTTGGATTCAGCATTTTGACTGAGTCCAAGTTTTGCAGAACAAATTCTTTCACTAAGGGACTTTGTTCTGTGAAATTTGGATTTAGTCAAAAGGCCACACTTGAGGACCTAGAGGGCTGCATGTGGCCTTGAAGTCTTAGGTTCCCTACCCCTGGATTACACATTTTCTACTTGGCTCCAGGGCAAAAACAAGAACAATGAGTGGAGGTTACAAGAGGCAAATTCAAGCTTCACAGAATCACTGTTCTAGAATTGGAATGAACCTTAGTAACCATTTAGTCCAGGCCATTTCCTCCCCTAACAATTCTCACGACAATATGCCAATAAGTGATTAACAAGTGATGCCTACGAGATCAAATTTGTCTTCTGGAGTTAGAATTGCTTATTGTCTAAGCATTGGGTATTTGACAGTCAACAAACATTTATTAAGTGCCTACTATGTGCCAGGCACTGTGCTAAGGGCTGAGAATACAAATTAAAAAAATGAAAGATAGTCCTTGCCTTCAAGAAACTTACAATCTAATTAATGGAGGAAGACAACACACAAAAGGAGGCTGAAAAATAGTGGTGGAGAGAATGGGTGTGGGGTTGGGGGAAGAAAGGTAACTAATGTAGGGCCGTGGTGGAGAAGTCCAAAGGAGTGTAGTTGGGTAGGAAATGAAGAGATGGCTGACCTGGGCACCTCTTTAAATGGAGGTTTTAATGTATATGTATGTGAAGTAATACTTGTGGCCATGGGTCTTTCAAACATACTACAAAGTAAAAGATGCTTTTTTTGGATCCTTTCTTGGATTGTGCTTCCTGTGAGCATTTGAATATCTATCTCAATTAGCAATTTTTCCTACATTGTAATTTTCTCTAGGGTCTTTAGTTTGATGGAAATATTAGGCATTTTTCTCCCTTCTTCATCTTAAGTTTTTTTTTTTAAATAGATTTGTATGACAATAGGGAAATAAAGGTAAGACTTACAAACCTCAGTTGCATTCCATTCCTGTTCAGGAGCCTGCCATTTCTATATTTTGAACTGTGGTCCAGAAATCCACTGTCATTTTTTAGACGGAACTTTTAAAATTCACCTCTCACATCAGATTTTTGTGCATGTGTGCTTTGACTTCCATGATCAATTGAAGAAAACACCGCCTTCATCTTTAAGGATTTTCTGCCAAGTATGAATCAGTGCTGAAGGGTTTATTGCTTTGAGATGTCAAGGTCCCACTGAGTGGGAGGAAGGAATATTAGAAAGGAGACACCACCCTGTCCGACTAATTTATATCAACTACTGTTATTGGGAACAAAACCCCAGAATGGGAGCTTGGGTTGACAGTATCAATAATTAAAAATACCTTTTATAATTAATTTTAATTTACTAAATAGATTTTCTGAATTTGCCCCAGTGATTAGCAGGACTATGTGATAAATCCAGTACATGTGACAAATACATCCTAAAATTCATTCCTGTTCATATAGTCTTATATGCTAAATAAGAAATTAATTACTTCTTATGTCATAAAATGTCTAAGATGTAATTATTCCTTTATGGTGATTAGCAATAGGTGAAATAATTTTAGAAAACCATTATATGCAGAACTCTCTCAGATATATGTGAGCACTCTAAAATACCTCACTTAATTGCTCAGTGATTAACAAGAAATAGAAAGATGAAATGATTTGGAATCTCGTATTTTATCAGCTTACTAAAAGTTACTGAATGGGATGTCCCAGTGAAGACTTCTCAGTGTAATTAAGGTTTGGGATAAGGTGAGTGGGATGAGGGGTCCTGTGAAGACTTCTTAGAAGAATAAATAGAAATTGTATTGAGACTCAAGGCAGGCACAGCAGCCTGACAGGCCTAAGTTTCAACTGACTAGAACTCACCCGATTTACGGGAATCTGGCCCCAGGTACCACCCCCCCCCCTCCCTCCCCCCCATGCCATTGTTAAACCCTTGAAACCACCCCCCTGTATTTTGTTGATACACCTGTTGCTATATTTTGGTCATGGTGACCTTGTTAGATAGTACGGTGTCTAGCTTGACTGCACATTTTCAATTGCTTCTTTGATATTACTCCAGCAAAGAAGAAATATGGATATGTATATTGTTTTTTGTTTTGTTTTCAATTTCTTTGGTAGAATTTCTCATTGAGATTGTGAGCCAAGAAATGGACAGCTGGTGGGAGGGGGGAATTTACCTGTTAGGGCTATTTAATGTGGTTCTTTGTTTTCTGCGCCTTGTCTCCCCTCATCAGAGTATCCTGGTGGAGGGACACCCTATTCTCGAGAATAGCAAATAAATTAACTTTGTTTCTCCTTGAAAAACCTCTAAGCGTGTTTTTTTAATTTGAGTGGCATCCCACACATTATCTACATTCTTTCATATAAATTTTGGGGACATTTTCTAGAATTAGGTCAAGTTTTTGTTTTTGCATTTAAATAAAGTATTGTTTAATTCTATACTATACAATCAAGAAAGTACTCCAAAGACCAAAAGTAAAGGAGCTTCCTCTGTTATACTGATGGGGTATGGGCCCAAGCTAAGACCTTTGTCCCTCACCCCAAAAAAGAATTTGGGTCTTATTTGTCTATGGGCCCCAGAAAACCCTTTAAGTTTCCTTGAACTCACTTGATCAAAGAAGTCTCAAGTGATTGCCTGAGGCTATAATCTACTCAACTGGCCTTTCCTTATCTAGGCCCAACCTCCCTGTTCTTTGCTACCCTAATTAAACCTAGTCCTCTATATTATAGATCCATTCCTAGATGCTTCATTCAACCTCCACATTATAAATCAGGATTCTCCCAGGATGCTTCCCCCTCAGAATCCTCCTTAAACTCCTCCTCCAGTACTGGCCACTCCCATCAAGACACCCAGTCACCCCAAAGCTACATGATCACTCCCAGATCCCTCTCATAGTCTTTCTGTATATAAGATCCATCCTGGTTGCCATTTAGGTGCTGAGACTTTCTCATGCCCACTCGTCCATAGGAGTGTCACAAATGTTCAGATTCCTTAAGAGTCTGGCCTGTATAGTACATCTTTAATAAACCTTGTCTTTGGCTGAAAGAAGGCTTTGGTTGAATTTGTACCGGCAGGACCCAAGTGTCATGATTTTGGGGTCCCAGCCCCGTAGCATCTATACCTCGACAATACCACTTTTTCATTATTTCCTTGAGATAGAGCCATGCTTAGTTTAAAGAGAAAACAAAACAACAGTCAGCATCTTGAGTATCCTTTGGCTTCTTTATCTCCCTTAGTTAAAAAACCATCTTACCTTGTTGTAGTATTTCAAAACTCCTCTGTAGAGAAAGGCTCTTACACTGTTAGGAAAAATTCTGATTGCTTCACTACAGTTCAAAATTGCCTTGGAGTATCTTCCTTTCATTCCATAGAAAGCTGCACGACTTATATATGCCTTTTTTCAGAAAAGGAAAGATACCCACTGTAATAACATTGATTCTTAGAAAAATCGTGATTCTGTGTTTTAGGTCCTTAGAGGTGTCAAACTCATTATATGAAGGCAGCAAACTCCCATAGAACTCCTTAGTAGGGCCCAAACTGATGGGATGGGATCTAGGATCTTGGGGTCCCACTACTCTTAAACCTCTAGACCTCATCAAAACCAAATTAAAAGGCAACTGGGAAGTGTTTAGCAAAATAAATAAAAATGTAATACCAGAGATAATGTTAATTTGTGGTATTCAATATGCAACCCACAGTAATCTATTTTTTTTTGTTTAGGCAATGGGGTTAAGTGACTTGCCCAGGGTCACACAGCTAGTAAGTGTTATGTGTCTGAGGCTGGATTTGAACTCAGGTCCTCCTGAGTCCAGGGCTGGTACTCTATCCACTGCACCACCTAGCTGTCCTGATAATCTATTTTTATTTGAGTTTGAATCCACTGTTAGGCTAAGATCTAAGAATCAAAATATGCTAGCTTGAAAATACATAGCACTTTTATTTCTTTATTTTATTTTATTTTTCATAGTACTTTTAAAAAGTAGGCATCAATATGGAAGTAATTAAAACAACAACAACAATAAAATGAATTTGGATTCTGGAGCTACTCTTTGGATATGAAGCGCCATCTAAAGAAAAGAGAACTAACAGGACACAATGTGGTGTTAAATTAATTATCCGAAATAGAAAAAAAAATGGGGCAGCTAGGTGGTGATATTTACTATCTGGGTGACCCTGGGCAAGTCACTTAACCCCAATTTTAAAAAATTAAAATAAAAAATGAAATAGAAAAAAGAATCAGAGGCCATAAGACTTCCAAATATCAATTTAATTTGCAAAGCTAGCATTTGCATATCAAACTGGCTTTCCCCACCTGGCTTTTGCCTGAGGCTATAATCTCATCAATGGTCTTTCACTGTGGCTATACCTAATCTCCTTCTGTTACCTTTAACCTAGTCTCCATTGTCTTACCTCCCTGCCATTTCCCACCCTTAATCCTAGCTAGGCCCCTTTCTCCTTTGTCCTGGAGGTCCATGTCCCAGGCTACTTGGCCCCTCCTAGATCCCTCCCACAGTCTTTCAGTATATAAGGTCCATCTTGTCCCCATTAAGGTGCTCAGATTCTTAAAATCTAGCTCAGATTCTTATAGTCTAGCCAATACCTTACTGATGTTCAGACTTCTTAAGAGTCTGCCCAATATGACGGATGTTTTAATAAACCTTGTCTTTGGCTGAAAGAAGGCTTGGGTCGAATTCTTTCAGACAGGACCAAAATGTTGTGATTTTGGGGTCTCAGCACCCCTAAACCCCTAAACCTCAACAAAACCAGGTCATCTCAAATGTCAGAGACAAAGGAGTGATTTACAGAGCTTATTTTTATAACAGAAAAGAGGAATTAAAAATTACAGCAATCTTAGGATACTTGTTTTGAACATAATTCAATTGGACAAGGCTGGTCATCTAACTAGTTCATTTCTCCCAGGCTTTCTTAACCTAAAGTTGTACTACTGGCAACATTTAGAGTGTGGACATGTTGGGGAGTTTCTAGGATGGGACAACTATTGAATCTGACATTCTGTTGGGTTAGGGTTTGTGTCTATGAGCCTGTCTGTCAAAGTGAGGTTGCCTTTGGAATCTCTTCCCTGAAGTTTAGCATTTTGTAATTAAAAGACTTATTTTAAAGGGGGCTGCAGTTATAATTTACTTCAGGGAGTTCAGGAAAAGGTGAACTAAGATTGGGAAAGAGGAGCCAGTGCCTTGCAGTTGGTAAATTAGTAATCCCCTGCCCCACCCCATCCCCTCTACCCTATGCTCCAGCTGCCTGAAAGGGGAACTTAGCCTTCAAAAAAAATCTTATAACTGTACAATTATTTTATTCCCACTAAGGCATATGACTTACTCTAAATTATCTGCTACTAAATAATGAAGTCTTGTCAATCTGTCTTGGTTTCAAGGCTAAATTTTTAGCTTAGCTTAGCTGTTGGGGCGAGCTTTTCCTAAAGAAGGGAATCCCTCAATCAAATTAAAAATAAATCTGGGGCAGCTAGGTGGATAGATCGCCGGCCCAGGATTCAGGAGGACCTGAGTTCAAATCCGGCCTCAGACACATAACACTTACTAGCTGTGTGACCCTGGGCAAGTCGCTTAACCCCATTGCCTAGCCAAAAAAAAAACCCAAAAAAAAACCCCCCAAAAAACAAATTAAAAATAAATCAAAGTAATCAATACAAATTGATTTAAAGGTTTTTCCTTTTCAGTGGGGAGGAAGCAGCTGCTTGCACCCTAAGGGATAATGGTGTGGGTCCACAGGTGTCACTAGATGAAATAGCATCCAGTAAGAGAGGAGAAAGAAACAAGTAGTTGTATTGAGTGACTTCCTGTTGAGGGCTAGTGAGGCAGCTATTTGTCAGTCTGGTAGTAATAATAAAGAGCTTGCTGCCCTCCTGGGACAAGGATCTCAAAAAGAACTTCTCAAATACTAGATGACTTCTGGTTATTTATAAGGTTAAAAAAAAAAGATATTCCGCTAAAGAATCTAGAAAAATTGCTCAGGATTATCACCTTTGTACCGAAGAGGCAAGGGCTTCAGAAGAAAAATAACAGTTTTGGAGCAAATTTCTTAGACATCCTTAAAAAACCCTCACTTGATCCCAAATTGCTATTTCCTCTTTTTCTCAGCTAAATTCCTTGAGAAGGCTACTTACAATCAATGTCTCTGCTTCTTCTCCTCTTATTCTTTTTTAAACCATCTTCAATCTGACTTTAGCTATCAACATTTGACTGGAACTGCTCTCTCCAGAGTTAATAGTGATCTCTTTGTTGAAACCTAATATCTTTTTCTCAGTCTCCATCCTTTTTTTGACTTTTTTGCAACCTCTGACATAGTCAAAATTTCTTTTCTCCTGGATGCTATCTCCTCTCTAGGTTTTCATGACACTGGTTCCCTTTCCATGGGCCTTGTAGTCTCTCATCTGACCTCTCCTCAATCCCCTTTTCTGGATCCTCCTAATTACGTCTACTAACCATAAGTTTTCTCCAAGATTTTATCCAGGGCCCTCTTCTTTTCTTCCCCTATACTATCTTACTTGGTGATCTCACCATGAATTCAATGATATCTCTATGCAGATGATTCCCAGACTTATATATTCAGCCCTAACTTATTCCTGAGCTCCATTCTCACTTCACCAACCGAATTGGATGTCTCCATAGGCACCTCAGAGTCAACATATCTGAGACAGAGTCCATTATCTTTTCTCCAAACTCTCTCATTTTCTTATTTTCTTTATTACTGTAGAGGCCACCACCATCTTTGCAGTTATGCAGGCTTGCAATCGTGACGTCATCTTCAACTCCTCACTCTCATACCACCCACATATTCAACTCTGTTGCCAAGTCTTGTTATTTCCATCTACACAATCCTACCTTTCCAATCTTCTTTACATCTATCATGTAAGTTCCCTTCTCTTTACTCACATAGCCATCATTCTGGTGCAGATCCTCATCAACTCTCAGCTGCACTATTTCCTGTTGATCTCTCTGCCTTACAGCTCTCTGTATTCCAGTCCCATCCTCCACTCAGTTGCCAAAACAATTTTTCTAAATGTAGCACAGGTCTGACCATATCACCAAATCTCTCCTCCACTCAATAAACTCTCCTGGCTTCCTTCAGGATCAATATAAAATCCTTTATTTGGCATTTGTTATTCTTCACAATCTGGCCCCTTCCTACCTTTCCAAGTTGTTTTCCAAGTTTTTTCCAAAACTTTACTCACCTACATGGTACTATATAATCCAGTGGCACTGACCTTCATATTTTATTTTGCACACAATATTCCATCTCCCTACTCCATGCCTTTTTAATCACTGTCCCCTATGCCTTGAATACTCCCCTTTACTTCCCCCTCCTGGCTTCCTTGGCTTCCTTCAAAAACTCAGCTCAAATCCCCATTTCATCAGGATGTCCCACTAGGTCTAACTCCTCTACTTTCTCCACCACTCACTGCTATTTCCTCTTCTCTGAAATTACCTTCCATTTACACTCTGTGTATCTTGTGTGTACAATTTTGTGCATGTTGTCTCCTCCATTAGAAAGTGAGCTACTTAAGGCAGGGACTATGTTTTTGTCTTTCTTTGAATCCCCAGCACTTAGTGTTAGTGCCAGGAGCAAGTGCTTAATTAATACTTGTTGAGTGGTTAAAATGATATTGACAGTTAAGGCCATTTAAACTTCTGGGCTACAGATTAAAATATGATACTTTTTGGCTCCTGGCCAGGGATACGCTGATTCTAACTAGTATGATTCTAACTAGGGGTAGTATGAATGATTTGTTTGGGGTCTTACAAATCTAATTTTAAAAGAAGCTATAAACTAAAAAGGAAGGCAGGGAGAGAAACTACCAAGATGGATACCATAAAAATAACTACCACATGTGATGAATAATAATAGTAGAGATATCCAAAAATCCTCAGGAAAGAAAATTTAAGAAAAGTATCAACAATAGAAGTGATGACCTCAGAGTGCTATACATAAGTGCACAAAATGTAAGGTATAAACAAGATGATCCTAAAACAAAGAGGCAAATTTGACATCATAGGTATGGCTGGGACTTTGGGAGATGGGACTGGTGATCAGGGTACAGCTCTGGAATTGTATGCCATATTCAAAAGAAATAGGATAGGTAATGTTTGACTAGAATAGCATTGTATGATGATGAGGAAGTCCAGAAAACAGAGTGGAGAAGTATGATGGGGAACATTTGGGTTAAAGTCAACAAGGACAAAAACAGAAATGATGTTATCATCCACACTGCCTGGATATAAGGAGAAATAGATGAGATATTTTGAAAGCAAATCATAAGCCTGCTCAGGAAACATGATATAGTTGTGATAGGGAATTTCAGTTTAGGGAATTTAGATCAGTGGTCTCCAAAGTGGGTGTGGGTAGGGAAGGAATATTCGATACCATGCTCTGGGATACAGAAAGAAAATATTAGAACTTCTATTTCTGATAACCAGCTAAAAAAGAAATTAAACTTTACAAATGTTTAATATATTGATCGACACTGGTACTCTCATGTTACATACATTACAAGAGATATCCTGGGGCAGCCAGGTGGCGCAGTGGATAGAGCACCGGCCCTGGATTCAGGAGAACCTGAGTTCAAATCAGGCTTCAGACAGAGCACCGGCCCTGGATTCAGGAGAACCTGAGTTCAAATCAGGCTTCAGACACAGAACACTTACTAGCTGTGTGACCCTGGGCAAATCACTTAACCCCATTGCCTAGCCAAAAAAACAAAAAAAAGAGATATCCTAAGGAAAGAATGAGAGTAACACAACAGAGAGGAGTTAACAGTGGTGCCCTCACCCGTTCTTTTCCAGTTAGCATATTTTAATGCATTTTACATGTGCCTAGTTAAGTGGATTTACAGGTTGTATTATCTAGTTTTAACTAAACAAACTCACAAACTAGAGAAGTAGCTTAAAAAGATTCTTATAAAGAAAACAGTTGCATGAAGACAATATAACTCTAGCATATGTTCCCTTTTCTTCACCTAGTTCAGGTCCTCATTGCCTTTCACCTGTACTAATGGCCTTTTTAATTGGTCTCCTTTCCTCAACTCTCTCCCTTTTGGTACTTAGGTGCCAAGGTGATTTTTCTAACAGGTAGGTCTGACTATGTCAGCTCTCTTCTCAGTTAGTTGCAGGGGTTCCTTCATATCTCCAGAACCAAAGACAAAGTCCTATGTTTGGCATTTAATGTGTCTTATATTTAAGGCTCTTCATAACCTGATCCCTCCCTTCCTTTCCAGGCTTTTTGTATCTTACTCCCTCCATATATACTCTAAGATCCTACAAAAACACTCCAGCTCCCAACTCTGTTAGTTTTCACTGGTTGCCTTTCATGTTAGCCAAGAATATTTTCCTTCCTTACTTCTATCGCCTGGCTTCCTTGGCTTACTTAAGTATCAGCTAAAATTCTACTTTAGCCATAAGTCTTTCCTGTTTCTTTTTTAATCTTGGTGCCTTCCCTCTGAGATGATCTCTGTTTATTCTATCCATCTATCTATCTATCTATCTATCTATCTATCTATCTATCTATCTATCTATCTATCTATCTATCTCTTGTTTGTATATAGTTGTTTCCATGCTGCTTATCCCTGTTGGATTGTAGGCTCCTTGAGGACAGGAATGGTTTTTGCCTTTCTTTGCATCTTCAGTGCTTAGCAGAATGACTGGCACATAGTATGCATTTGGTAAATGCCTCTCGACTTACCTAATAGTTTGCCTCTTTTGTTGTCCCATCCCCTCAAGCTCATAGTTTTATTTATTAATTCAATGGTGTTCTTGCTTTCACTTTTGTTAAGTCTCTTCTTTCCTTTCCAAAATTTCTGTTTCAGTCAGGAGATTTGTGTCCCAGGATCACACAGTTAGTAAATATCTGAGGTGTGACTTGAACCCAAGTCTCATAAGTGAGAGCTCTATCCAGTACAGTAGGCTGCCACTTTTGGGGATAAGTGATTACTATATCACTTATAATTTGTGATAAAGTAGGAGAAGAAAGCTGAGCATGATTGTCAGATACCCTAGATCTTAGGAAAATAAGTTTGGAAGTAATACTGAAAAGAATCAGTAATGTACCATGGACTAAAATTCTAAAGAAGTCAGCTCAAGAAGGATGGGAAGCTCTGTGCTTGAAATTCTGAAAACACAAAGAAAAATAGAACTCTGTTCCCTAAATCTGGAATGTTTTCTCTCCATACCTCTTACCTCTGCTCTTTAGTTTCCCTGGCTTCTTTCAAGTCTCAGCTTAAATGCAACTCTCTTCAAGAAGTCTTTCCTGGGACTCCCATCTCTCCTTGTCCCAACTGTGATTGATTTGGCCTTTGAGATTATACTCAATCTACTTTGTATATATTTTGTATGTACCTAGTTATTTTCATATTGTCTCTTCCATTAAAATGTGAGATTCTTAAGGGCCAGGATCATGTTTTTGCCTTTTTTTTTGGGGGGGAGGGGCAATATCCTCAATGCTTAGCACAGTGCCGGGGCCTTACTAAATACTTACTAAATGCTTTCTAAAAATTGATTGATTGATTAAATTCAGGGCACCACATTTGAGGAAAGATAATGGGAAGTTGAAGTTTGTCCAAGGGAAGGTAACCAGCATTACAGAAGGCTTCATCTTCATGCCATACGATGATCAATTGAAGAACTAATGGAGAATCAATTGAAAGTATGGTAAGCCTAGAGAAGATGTCGATGTGGTATGATGCGTCTTTAAATATGTGAAGGATTTTCATGTAAAAGGAGGATTAAACTTGTCTTGCTTAGTCTCACAAGGACAACATTGAAATGATGGCTAGAAGGAAACTACAAAGAACTAGATTTAGCCTTGATGTAAGAGGAAAAAACCTGTCATAATATTTGAACTATCTAAAAACTAGTGTATACAACTAGTGGTTTCCTTCTCACATCAGATAAAGCTGGATGAATAACCGTTTGCTAGACAAGACATAGAGAGGATTCTTATTCAGGTATGAGATGGCTTAGAAACCTATATAGGTCAGTTCTCAGAATATTTTTAAATGCATAAGATAAAATATACAGTATTACAACGGAAATATTTTGAAATATAGTTATCCACTTTTTTTTAAAGTTTACAGGGTTCAGGTCTCTAAGGACACTACTAATTCTGGTATTTCAATTTAGTGAGCCAAAAATAATCTATAAGTAGCACATAGAGTGAAGAAAGGCAAAATTTGTCTATTTTTTAAAAAAAGTTAATAGAGAAGTACATGAATTGTGGTTATTGATCGAATTAAGTTAGAATGGCAAATCAAAGATCAAAGGGTCTTAGGATTTCAATGAACTTTTAAACTATTTAGCAACATTTACATGCATTGAAATCATAAGCAGTGAAAATTCAAATACCTGATAATGTTTTGGATTGATGGTAATTGCCCGATTGAAATCCTGCACACATTTATCCTTCTGGAGTTTCACTCTACAAAGTCCTCGTTGATAAAAGGCCTCAGCATATTCAGGATATACTTTCACTGCTTTGTTAAAAAAGTCAAAGGCCTATAAAGGTCATATAATAAAAAAGAAACAACTTAAATCAATAAACCATATGCCATCACTTTTGAAAGGCCAACAAAATAGTATGTGAATTTTAAAACAATAATTCTGTCCTATGGATACTTTTATTGCTTTTTTAAAAAGACATTATATAAAGCAAATAGAAATAAAAATATATAAATTAAGTAATATTCTATAATTATTTACAGACGTATTTACTATATGTTGCTTTGCAAAACATTTGCAATTGAGCTAATAAATACTAAACAATGATTAACATATTTAGAAAAATAATTACTTCTCACTTGAATGGTGTGGGTAGTAATAATAATGTTGCATTATTATTAATTTCTATTTACATAGTACTTTACAGTTACAAAAATGTTTCCTACACATATTGTTTTATGTTATACTTGAAATAACCCTGTGAGGGAAGCAGAACAGGTATGATTAACTATTTTTTACAGATTTTGAAAATCAATCAACTATATTACATGGCTTGCTCATATTGACATAGTTTACTAGGTGACAAAGCTGGAACTTGTACCCACAACCTTATCAGCTTTACCATAGTTGTTAATATACTAATTTTAATTTTTGCTCACACTAAAAAGGAATGCCAGGTTAATTTTCAGCGGAGCTCTTTTGAATCTCTATTAATGGTTATCAAATGAGAATCAGGAATGAAATTTCAATTATTATGCTTCAAAAGTATTTATTTCTAGCTCTAAGATCTTAAAATACCAATATATGTAAGGTTTTTCAAGGACTGGGACTAAGAGTTGTCTTTCATTTTTGTATCCTCAGTGCCTAGCACAGTGCCTAATAGGCAGTGGGTATTTAGGAAATGTGTGGGTGTCTGTGTGTTTAAATTAAAGTTGGGCTCTGACCATTCAGAAGATACAAACAAACAAAGAAAAAAGGCAGGAGGCCAAAGAATGAACCTTAGATTCTTTGGAATTTCTTGTTGGAATAACTAACATGTGGCCTTCTCAAGTACTAATGTGACCTTTAGGCCAAAATATACAAAAGTTAATGCAAGAGTATAGTAAAATGGGACACACAACATAAAGAATACCCATGGATTCTTCTGTTAAGCTGTAAATTTAGAATACTGACCAACTCCATAGACACTGGCCCATGAAATTACAAATGTACACGAGTGTCTATTTAAGGATGAAGGAAGTACCCATTGCATTATCCATATGCTATTGTATATTATTTTTATTTTTAACGTGTAAGATAATGGTCACAAATTTGAAGTGTGAATTTTAATACATAATGCTCAAGGTTGTCTATACAGTGTCCCAAAAGGCTTGGTGTAGCTTTAAGCTATTAATAGCTTTTATAATTAATAAAAGAACACCAAGTATTAGCTGCAGAATCACATGGTTGTTGTCAAACTGCTAATCTTAATGGCTAAGTTCTACACAATTTAATCAACCACCATAATTGCCAGTACAGAGAAGCTAATTGGTCACTATCCAGTATAATGTTTTTCATCACACTGAGACATGTGTTTCAGGAAAAAGATGGCTTCATAAAATAGAGTTGGATTATTTTATAAAAATATTTTCTGGAATTAGACTTGCTATTGAATATATATTGAATATTTTTTACTAAGATACCAGTCATGAAATAGACATGAAGAATCATTATTGAATAATGATATCACGATGATAATAAATCATTACAATGAATAACATCAAGTCTCATTACTGAATAATAATATCTAGATAGGTTAGAACCAGGATTAAGTGAGTTGGCTCAATAATATTTATGTAACTTTCTTGAGCTTGGCTTATCACAGAAGCTATAACACTGTTGATGTTGTATATTGCCAAGTCATAGAAGTCTTAGACTACCTTGTGGGGATATAACCTTTATAAGTGGGGCTCTTGTGTAAAACCAAAAGATGCCATGTTCCTTAACAGCTTCTAAAAGTAGCAAATACATATATTTTTAAAAAATCTCAGAAAATACCAATTGGGGATTCCCTTCCTCCATGTAACAAAGACCTAAGTGATAGTAACATTCCGCGGACAGAAATGATCCCTTTGGTGTCCTGTCTGTAGCAGTTGTTATGTCCAAAGCCCTTTTAAAAGTTATCACAGCATTCTACAATGATAAAAAAGTGAAACCTTTTTATTATTTGTTTAGAATTACAGAATTTTGGAGTTGAAAGGTATCTTAAAGATTATACAGTCTAACTTTCTCATTTAAAAAAGATCCAGAGAAGTTAAGTAACTTGTAGCATACAGTTAGTCACTTACCTGGGCAGTGTCAGGCCAAGAACTAAAAACTAAATTTCCTGACCCTTCATCTAATATTCTTTCCATAACAACATACAAACTATTGTAGTATGCTTATGGCAAATAAATTGGGTGAATTTTCTTAGAAAATTAAAATTTAGAAGTACTAGCTTAAAAAGTTCCTGAAAATATTAAAGAATTATTTCCTTGAAAATCAAGTAAAACAATTATTCTATTTCAAGCCGTATTCCCTAGTGATTTGAGGAAGCAAAATACTATGGGTCTAGTTAATAACAAAAGAGTACTTATGAAAAAAATCTGACATAATATTAATTTTTAATCAATTTTTATTTTGCTTTTTAAAAATAAAAGTAAGGGCAGCTAGATGGCACAGTAGATAGAACATCAGCTCTAGATTCAGGAAGACTTAAGTTTGAATCTGGCCTCAGATACCTGATACTTACTAGCTGTGTGACCCTGGGCAAGTCACTTCACCTCTTTGCCTTGGGGAAAAAAAGCCATCTTTGGAGGCGGAGCCAAGATGGCAGAATAAAAGTAGTGACTTGCTTGAGCTCTCCCCCAAATCCCTTCAAATACCTGTGAAAAAATGGCTCTAAACAAATTATAGAGCAGCAGAACTCACAAAAAGACAGAGTAAAACAAATTTCCAGTCCAAGACAACCTGGAACGCTGGCAGGAAAGGTCTGTTGTGCTGGGTGGAGAGAGGAGCACAGTTCAGTGTGGGCCTTGCAGGCAAAGACAGTGCTTCAGCAAACCTGGAGTAGGCCTCAGGGGACTGAATCACAGGCAGCTGTGGTAGTTTCCAGACTTCTCGACACACAAATGCTGGAGACAACTTAGAAGGTCAGTAGGAAAGGTCTGTTGGATCTAGGTGAGAAAGCATCTCTGTCCAGCCCCAGCCCTGGCACAGCCCCAAGGTGGTGGCTGCTTCTGGAGCTCTTGGCCCACAGATGGTGGGAGGATCAAGCAGCTACTCAAAGGAGGATTGCAGGGATCTCTTGGCTGGCACTAAGACAGGATTCTCTTACTTTGCCCTTGCTTGGATCTGGGTTGCCGTCCTAGGTGGCAGTCCTGGGGTGAGGAGCAGTGCTGGTGTGGTGGAACATGCAGTGGTGGTGGTGGAAAAGAAATCTTCCTCACAGTTCCAATGCAGAAAAAAGTGCTTGTGGTCACTCACAGACCACAGCACAGGCCAAGAAAGGAGTAAACACCTGGGAAGAACTGAAAATTTACAGGTCCCTAGACGTATCTCTGAAAATAGCTGCACAAAATCCCCAAGGCTTGTGACGGTACATTCTCCACACTGGAAACAGACCCCTACCTCCACAAAGAGTTTAAAACTCAAGTAATTGGCTGGGAACATGAGCAAACTGTGCAAAAAAAAAAAATAAAAGTCAGACCATAGAATCTTACTTTAGTGATAAAGAAGATCAAAACATACAACCAGAAGAAGACAACAAAGTCAAAGCTCCTACATCCAAAGCCTCCAAGAAAAATATGAATCAGTCCCAGGCCATGGAAGAGCTCAAAAAGGATTTTGAGAAGCAAGTAAGAGAAGTAGAGGAAAAATTGGGAAATGAAATGAGAGTGATGCAAGAAAATCATGAAAAACAAGTCAACAGCTTGCTAAAGGAGAGCCTAAAAATGCTGAAGAAAATGACACCTTAAAAAATAGCCTAACCCAAATGGCAAGAGGTCCAAAAAGCTAATAAGGAGAAAAATGCCTTAAAAAGCAGAATTGGTCAGATGGAAAAGGAAGTCCAAAAGCTCACTGAAGAAAAGACTTCCTTAAAAACTAGAATGGAGCAAATGGAAGCTAGTGACTTCATGAGAAACCAAGACATTATAGAACAAAACCAAAAGAATGAAAAAATGGAAGACAATGTGAAATATCTCTTTGGAAAAACAACTGACCTGGAAAATAGATCCAAGAGAGATAATTTTAAAATTATTGGACTACTTGAAAGCCATGATCAAAAAAAGAGCCTAGACATAATCTTTCAAGAAATTATCAAGGAAAACTGCCCTGATATTCTAGAACCGAGGGTAAAATAGAAATTGAAAGAATCTACCAATCATCTCCTGAAAGAAACCCCCAAAGAAAGACTCCTAGGAATATGATAACCAGATTCCAAAGTTCCTAGGTCAAGGAGAAAATATTGCAAGTAGCCAGAAAGAAACAATTCAAGTATTATGGGAACACAATCAGGATAACACAAGATTTAGCAGCTTCTATATTAAGGGATCTGAGAGCTTAGAATAGATATTCTGGAGGTCAAAGGAGATAGGATTACAGCCAAGAATCACCTACCCAGCAAATCTGAATATAATCCTTCAGAGGAAAAAAATGAACTAGTGAAATAAAGGACTTTCAAGCATTCTTAATGAAAAGAGTAGAGCTGAATAGAAAATTTGACTTTCAAATACAAGACCCAAGAGAAGCATGAAAAGGTAAACAGGAAAGAGAAATCATAAGGGACTTATTGAAATTGAACTGTTTACAAAATCCTACATGGAAAGATGATATTTGTAACTCATGAGACCTTTCTCATTATTAGGGTAGTTGGAGGGAATGTATATAGACAGAGGGCACAGGGTGAGTTGAATATGAAGGGATGATATCTAAAAAAGAAAATTAAGGAGTGAGAGATGAATGTACTGGGAGAAGGAGAAAGCTACTATTCTAGTTCAGGTTCTCACCACCTACTATAAGAGCCTTCTAATTGAGCTTCTTACTTCTAGTCTGTCCCTTCTCCAAACTATGGAGCCAATGAAACTGCTATCAACTAGATCAGGGGTCAGCAAATCATGGCCCAAGGGCCAAATCTATCCCACTGCCTGTTTTTGTACAGTCTTCAAGTTAAGAGTTAACATAAAAACCATTATCCAGCAGGACAGATTTGGCCAGTGGACCATAGTTTGCTTATCTCTGAGCTAGACTAGTTATCATAAGCTCTCATCCTGATAAACCATCCTGATACAAGAGCTATTAAAAATGGTTCATGCTTCAATACTTCAAGGATTGGTGTTTTTTGTCAGCATTCCTTTCACAAGATCAGATCAAATTCCCTGCATGTTATTATTATAATTATTATAATTTATTTATGATTATTATAAATTATAATAATAAAAATTATATAATTATTATAAATAATAATTATTATAATAGAATTATTATAAATTAGGGATTGAAAAATAAATCTCCCTGAAACCAATGTACTGATGATGAATCTCTGAATTTAATTAGGATAGTCTTCAGATGGGTCTGTTGTTGGGCTTATATTCAGAACCTTTTTAGTTTGGTAAGCGCTAAAAAATCTTGTGCTCTACTTCCAAGAGTCCAAAATCACCTCCATGCCATCATGAACCCTCTTAGTTAGACTTCCTATAGTAGTTTTCCAAGTCCCATAAAGTAAGGCATTATATGGAAAGAGAAAACTCCACTATAAATTTAAACAGCAATGTTAAATATAGCATATTGATTCTATCAACACATTTAATAAAAATTACTGTTGAATTTTCTCACCTGTGTTTTTTTGGCCTTCATTTGGGTTTTTCCTAATAACAGGTACATGGCAGGCTCTGGCTTACACAATGTGACTGAAAATAAGATTTTTATAGCTTCTGTGTGATGATTACAAAATGAAAAAACCAATGATTGCTGAACAGGAGACAACTCCAAGGAACCTACAAGTGAAGGAAATTTTCTGTAAATATTTCATGTCACCTTTTTCTAGTTCATGTAATATCAGAATGGTACTTAGTTCTTAGAAAAAGATTGTTTTGAGAAAATCTTGTAACTCAAGAATTGTATATTACAGCCATACCAACTAATTCATAAGTATTATATTAAGACCTCTTTATTATAAGCAACTAATAAACAATGCCAGTTACACTAACCAAAAAAAGGGAAAAAAAAGGATTTCTATCATCTATACTAAATGGGAACTGGGGCAACCAGAAGCACCATTCAACAATCAATTTGCTGACTTCTGTGTTCCCTGTACTCAGAGATTCAAGCAATCTGTGTTTGCTTAAGAGCAGTACTGATTGATGGGCCTTTGGAGGGAGAGGGAACCTAGAGAATGAGTTCTGGCACAAGAACAGTCCCAAGTTTAAGCTACTTTGTGGATTTAAATCCAGTCAAAATTATAACTCGTGAGCCCCCACTAATACTTTTACTAGTTGGGCAAAGAACACAAGCAACCAACTAAACCATCAGTCGGCAAACCAGGTGGCACAGTGAGTAGAATATTAGGTTTAGAGTCAATAAGAATTGAATTTGAATCTTGCCTCAGATACTTACTCACTGTGTGACCCTGGCCAAGCCACTTAATCTCACTTAGCTTCAGTTTCTTCATCATAAAATTGGGGTAGTAATAGTACCTACCTTGTTGTAAGGATCAAATAGAAACTATGTGCAAAGCACTTGGCAAACCTTAAAGCACTTTATAAACACTAACAATGAGTTATTACCTACTATGTGTGAGACACTGGAGATACAAAGACAAAAAAAAAACCCCAAGGAGTCCCTGTCCTCAAGGAACTTGTATACTTTTTGGGAAAACAATATGTAGAAAGATTAGTAAATACAAAATATATACATAGTAATTTGGAGGAACATTATTAATCGGGGGATCAGGAAAGGTCTCATGTAGGGGAGGGCATTTGTACAAAGCTTTGGAAGAAGTCAGAGATTCTAAAGAGATGAAGGTCTGGAGCACGTGTATTCTAGGTGTGGGCTATAGCTTATGTAAAGGCATACAGATGGGAAGTGGAATGTCATTATGTGAGGAACAGTAAGCAGGTCTATTTGGCTAGAACATAAGAGTGCATGAAGGGGAGTAATATATAATAAGCACGGAAAAGTGGCCTGGAGCCAGAGTGTAAAGGACTTTAAATCTCAAACTAAGGAGTTCAGATTTTATCCAAGAAGCAGCTAGGAGTCCTGGGGCTTGTTGAACAGGAAAATGATGTCATCTGAACTGTGCTTTCAGAATATCAGTTTTGCAATGGTGGAGGGGATAGATTGGAGAGGGAAGCCATTTGTAGCAAGGAGCCCAGTTAGTAGGCTCATGAAATGACCCAGGCAAAAGGTAATGAAAGCCTGAACAATGTGGTCCATGGTGTTACGTGTGGAGGGAAAGGGATGAGGTGAAGGATGTTGTGGAGATAGGACTGAGAAGATTTGTCAGTGACTGGAGACAGAGGTGTGCAGTGACAGAGAAGCATCAAGGATAACCCCTAGGTTGCAGAGCTGAGTGACCGGAAGAAGAGTAGTAATCTCAATAGAAATAGGGGAGAGAGAGGTGGGCTTTGGGAGGGAAGATATGAGTTTTCTTTTATGATGTTTAATTTGAGATGAATTTAGTTCAAAGCAAAAAACTAATGAGAAAATTAATAATGAACATTCCCCCCATAAAACTGAATCTTACTCCCTTTTAAATATGCCCATCATCAGCAGGAAGAATAGACACAGTTCTATAGCAGGAAGGGAGGGGCACAGATCTAGAAGTTACACATACAACATATTCTGTTGGGGAAAACACCACACGGACAAGTAAGTAAATGCAAACTTTATAGAAAGTAAACACAAAGTGATTTGGGAGGCCCTCTCAGTTTGAGGGGAATCAGGAAATGTCTCGCATAGGAGGTGGCAATTGTGGTCTTTTTGTGACCAAGACTTATTTGTGAAAGGTCACAGATATAGGGAATATGCACAGCCATGGTATATGCATGCAGAAGCAATTCATACCTCCCATGCTGCAAGACTGCCACTATCTTCTGGTAACATCTTATGTTATTTCTCTAGGGCCTGCTTCCTGCTGGTCTCTTACAGATGGTAGAGGTCAGTTGTCTGATCTTGCGGCTGCATTTCACCACTTATCTCTTAGTACTGAGCTTCTCTCTGTTAATAGAATCTGAGTTTGACCTCTTCAGGGCACCTGTGGGCCACTTTGGCTCCCAACTGATAGGGCACTGGGACTAGAAAGCATTTCCCTAATAAGGACAATGATATCTCTTTAGTAATAGTGAAGCTGTGAGTCTCCACAACTAGAAACAAGCCAACACAATCTCTAGTAATGGAGGACGTGAACTCACATCTCAGCCCTGGCCTATCTGAAGAGAAATAGGGTACTTGGGCCACCATAGACTACTCAGAGAATCATGTCCTGGCACTGGCAGTCATAACAGGAGACAAGTGTCTGGACATCATTGCCAGGGGGCTGTTGAGAATACCATAAACTCCAACACCCCTGTCAGAGCCATAGCAGGAATGGAATGATCCTTTGAGGAAAAGAAGACAGATACCCTTCAAGGTCAGAGCCCACAGTAGGCTACAACAAGGCAGAGATGGAAAATAAGGATTGAGGAAGAGGGTGGGCTTAATGCCAACCATCCCATGTAAATTAGCAATAGTAGTAGTGTCTAGAATACAGAAGGGGCAGAATTAAACAAGTCCTACCCAAACAATCCTAGGATGTTGAGAAGAGTAATCTAATACAAAATCCTAATCCAAGAAGTGAGGCTGAAAATATGAGTAAACAGTTGTTGTTCAGTCATTTCAATCACGTCTGACTTTTCATGATCCCATTTTGGGGTTTTCTTGGCAAAGATACTGGAGTGGTTTGCCCTTTCCTTCTCTAGCTCATTTTACAGATGAGGAAACTGAGGTAAACATAATTAAGTGACTTGCCCAAGGTCACATAACTAGAAAGTGTCTGAGGCCAGATTTGAACTCAGGAAGATGAGTCTTCCTGACTTCAGGCCCAACACTCTTATCCACCGTGCCACCTAGCTGCTCCTTTCTTTGTGACCCCATGGATTTGTCCATTGGGTTTTCTTGGCAAAGATACTAGAGTGGTTTTCCATTTCCTTCTCCAGTGTGTCCCCATTCTATAGATGAAGAACTGAGGCAGGAGGGTGGAGCCAAGATGGTGGAGTAAAAGCAGTGACTTGCTTGAGCTCTCCCCCAAACCCCTCCAAATACCTATAAAAATGGCTCTAAAATTCTAAAGCAGAAGAACCCACAAAAAGACAAAGTGAAACAAATTTCCAGCGTAAGACAGCCTGGATGGTTGATCTAAAAGGTATATCGCACTAGGCTGGGGGAGGAATGCAGTTCCGCATGGGCGTGCAGGCCTCAGCGAACCTGGAACAGGCCTCAGAGGACTGAATCGCAGGCAGCTGTGGCTGTTTCCAGACTTCTCAACCCATGAATGCCAAAGACAACTTAGAAGGTCAGTGGGAGAAGTCTATTTCTACGTGAGAGAGAAGCATGGGGTCCCAGGCCCATTCCCCAAGCTCAGCCCTGGGGTAGCAGCTGCCTCCTGAGCTTCCAGCCCACAGATGGAGGGGGAATCGAGTGGCTGATCAGAGGGGGATTGCAGGGATCTCTCTGCTGGTGCAGGATTCTCTTGCTTTGTCCATGCTTGGATCTGGGTCACAGTTCCTGGTGGCAGTTCTGGGGCTAGGAGGAGTGCTGGCATGGTGGAGTTTGCAGTGGCTGTGGAGAAAAAATCCTCCTCACAGTTCCAAGACAGATGAGTTCTTGTGGTCACTCATAGAGCAGAGCACAGGACAGGAAAGCAGTAAACACTTTGCCCTTGATCATAACACCTTGGAAGAACTGAAAATTTGCAGGTCCCCAGAAGCATTTCTGAAAACCGCTGCACAAAACCCCTGAAGCTTGGGACACTACATTCTTCACATTTGTAACAGACCCCTACCTTGAAAAAGAGTTTATAACTTAAGTAACTGACCGGGATCATGAGCAAGCAGTGCAAAAAGAGCCAGACTATATTATCTTACTTTGGTGACAAAGAAGATCAAAATATACAACCAGAAGAAAACAAAGCCAAAGCTCCTATATCCAAAGCCTTCAAGAAAAATATGAATTGGTCCCAGGCCATGGAAGAGCTCAAAAACAATTTTGAGAAGCAAGTATGAGAAGTAGAGGAAAAACTGAGAGTGATGCTGCAGGAGACCCAAAAAAACCTTGAAGAAAATAACACCTTAAAAAATAGCCTAACCCAAATGGCAAAAGAGGTCCAAAAAGCCAATGAGGAGAAGAATGCCCCAAAAAGCAAAATTGGCCAAATGGAAAAAGAAGTCTAAAAGCTTACTGAAGAAAATACTTCCTTAAAAATTAGAATGGAGCAATTGGAAACTAGTAACTATATGACAAATCAAGGCACTGTAAAACTAATTCAAAAGAATGAAAAAAATAGAAGAGAATGTAAATATCTCATTGGAAAAACAACTGACCTGGAAAATAGATCCAGGAATGAGAACTTAAAAATTATTGGACTATCTGAAAGCCATAATCGAAAAAAGAGCCTATACATCATCTTTCAAGAAATTATCAAGGAAAACTGCCCTGATGTTTTGGAACCAGGAGGCAAAATAGAAATTGAAAGAATCCACCAATCACGTCCTGAAAGAGATCCCCAAAGGAACACTCCTAGGAACATTGTAGCCAAATTCCAGAATTCCCAGGTCAAGGAGAAAATATTGCAGGCAGCCAGAAAGAAACAATTCAAGTATTGTGGAAACACAATCAGGATAACACAAGATTTAGCAGCTTCTACATTAAGGGACCGCAGGGCATGGAATATAATATTCCGGAAGGCAAAGGAGATAGGATTACAACCAAGAATCACCTACCCAGCAAAACTGAGTATAAT